TGCCCACTCAGTGCCTCCGCCCCAGCCCCACAGTACAGGTACAGCGCACAGCTCCAACCCCGTGTGTTTGTTACGGGGGCTTGCTGTGTTTGTGGGGGCTTGCTGGGCAGCACAGGGGCAGCAGTGAAGCCTAGTCAGAGGCCTTTTTTTAATCCAAGTATATGATGTCGGCGAATATACACTAGAGGGTAGGGCTAGGATTCAGAGTGACCAAGACAAATTGGAGGATTGGGGCAAAAGGAATCTCATGAGGTTCAACAAGGACAAGTGCAAAGTCGTGGACTTAGGATGGAAGAATCCCATGCACCAGTGCAGGCTGGGGGCTGACTGCTTGGGTAGTAGCTCTGCAGAAAAGGACCTGGGGTTACAGTGGACAATCAGCTGACTATGAGCCAACAGTGTGCCGTTGTTGCCAAAGCTAAAGGTACACTGGGCTGAATTAGTAGGTGTGCTGGCAGTAGGTCAAGGGAAGTGATTATTTCCTTACTCTGCCCTTGACACAGATGCCCACCATTGTCTTGTATGTGTCATCCAAGTAATATCAGTGGTGGAAGCAGAGTTTACTGGTATAGCAGATAAGCTTGGGACAAAGTCAAAAGCAGCCCTGTCCATTAACTCAGTTCTGCTAAGAGGTTCGCCTTATAGGACTTCATGAGGTAGCTGAACTACTGGATATTATTCAATACTGCACATGCAATATTGAGTTCCAATAGTTATATATATGGTGCCCAGGAGCTGAGGTGTGTTTTCTGATGAGCGTGCAGAAATAAGCAGATTCCTGAGGAATTACTAGTGGAAGTTGTTAACCAAATCTTCCAGTTTTGTGTTCCAAGTTTCTTCCCTTCTGAAGCATTGGATGTTTCAGATCACTTTTGCACAGATGGGAATGATCTTTTTGACTTCTCATCAGCAGTCCAGCCAGGACAATTAAGGCCTCTGTGAGCTTCTCACCAGTGTAAGCACTGCACCCTATCTCCTAGATGCAGTTACTTAACCATTCCAGATTTAGTTTTCCTTGCAGCTCTGGAAGGGAGAGTGCCCCTGGCAGCTCCTGTTTGTTGGCTAGAAGCAAGACTGGTTTATGTTACTCTGAACTTTCTCCAACCTAGCCATTGCATCTGGCAGCCAGGTTTTGTCAGTACTGTCTAACACAAAGATGAGGGTATCTGTGCCTTCCAGACAGTTCTTGCAGATGGCATGGAGCTTGTCTTGATCACCAACATGCCAGAGTCAAGGATACATGATAAGAGGTTTCTAGAGAGTCCACGCTGAAGCCCACTGGTGGGGAACTTTGCATAACCTCACCACTCTTCAGCTTATACAAGAAGGTAGACTTGCTAGCAAAATCCAAGGCTAGTATTGCAATCCAAGCACTTTTCAATCAAGCCTTGGAGTTCAAATTCCCTGTCAGACTGCTGCCACTAACATTTCAATGAAAACTTGTATATAATAAAACATAAATTATTCCTTTCCAGAGAGAAATTATTACTAAAATTAATACAAGTAACACAGGAACAGAATGACAAAACCTGTGGGGAGGGGGTCCAGTTAGCCACCAACTTATGTCTGAGATCCAAGCAAGTCCAAAGTATGAAGGTTTCTTGAAGGATAAAACAATCAGCTTTTCATTGTAACTAGAATGAGGCAAGTTATATTATTTATGAGGTATGGAGCAGAGCCAATAAATGTGGTCTGAAATAACAAATGGCTTCTGTATTAGTATTTTCTGCCTCTAAGTTCCATTTTCATCTGCAACCTGAGATTACTCAAGAGTTAAAGCATAAATGGAGCCAACGTCTTGCCAAAAGAGGTGGGGAGACTATACAGCTAGTTTCTTCTTCCTCCTCCTGTGTACAGAAATAAGCGACCTTTTGCCCATTGTTCTGACCGGGGTAATCCCCTCCATCAGAGAACAAAGAGGAAACTAAACCAGGGGCTGTCAACCCGGGGTATGCAGACCCACGGAGGTATTTTGAAAGGTCCCGGGTGGTATGCGTGGGTGGGGACAGAGCACTGCCACCTCACAGAAGCAGGGCCGGAGCTAGGCAAGGGCAGTGGCGCTCCTCTGGAGGCCACACAGGCACCGCCTGGCCAGCCGGACACAGACGGGGAAGCTTGCATGCAGTGACCACCGCAGCCATTCACCCCCCCGGCGCTGCTGCTCCATGTGTGGCCACCGCCACCCACCCCCCTGCTCTGCAACTGGATGCCGCTACCCACCCCACACCATGCTCCACGACCAGCCGCCACTACCCCCCACCCTCTGCTTTGCGACCGGCCGCCGGGGGTACACTGCTCAAAAAAGGTTGAAAACCCCTAAACTATTGCAAGTGTCCCTGCTGGCAAGTGCTGAATCAGAAACTGAGGTAGGTCATTGTTTTAGAGCACAGGCAGGCAATTATATCAGGCAGAGAGACGCTTACTGAGTTTTGGCAAGCCATCAAGGGCCGCATGACAGGCAGCCAGGGGCAGATGTACATTCATTTTCTAGATTTTTTAAGGGCCCCATGGGCCAGATAGAATGTCCTGGTGGGCCACATCCGGCCCACGGGCCACATTTTGCCCACCACTGCTTTACAGTATCATTAAGAGGCAGTCATAAAGCTACTTAGCCACTCCTGGGTTAAAATTAATAAAATAATCTTCCCAACTGCAGCAGCTTTCATTCACCAGCTGCTGTGTAGATTATAGAGACAGAGATTTAGAGAAATATATATGAATGAGGTTTTAAATAACTCATTAAAATGCAATCAGCAAAAACCCTCTCCCTAAGACAGAAAGGCTGCTTTATAGCAAATCTGACATGAGTGAGATGGGGCCAATATTCTATGACAAAAGCAGATACCATACTATCCTTTAAATCAATGCACTGATTAGAGAGACACAACCTGAGTGTACGTGCTACAGGAATGGTGGGACTAATACAAGGAAATTCTATGCTACTGAAATATGTTGCAGTCACTCAGACAAGTGCTGTTGCTAGCAGTTGTACGGTATGCCAGCAAAATAGGTATCTAACATTATATGGCAAGATTTGCATGTTAAAACTGCTGAAATGCACACAGAACACAGCCAACCACAATGGCTGTCTTGGTTACAGTATCACTGGAGAGCTTTTGATTTCTATCCACCCTTGTCTCAACAACAAAAAGAAAATGTGATTGGTTTTCCTTTTCCAGGTGCTCTCACCGTCCCTGGAAATCTTCAAGAGGAGACTGGATGGGCACCTGGCTGGAGTCTTATGACCCTGCCCACCCCCAGTGCTCATCCCTGCCCATGGCAGGGGGTCGGACTCAATCATCTGTCTAGGTCTCTTCCGACTCATTGATTCTATGATCTTTATTGCATCACCTTTTGCTATGCTACAGACATAAGTTTCTTCTGAATTAAGTGAAATAAATCCAGACTAGACAACATCACTGGGATAGAGTTGTGTATAATCTTTTACAGCCAATAATGCTGTTAATAGTATTCTGCTCCACTTGCCACATAGTCATTGATCACCACCACCACTGTAGTTTTAAAAAGAAAGCATCCATTAGTTTATTTTGTAAGATAGAATCATAGAATATTAGGGTTAAAAGGGACCTCAGGAGTATTTAGAGTATCATTAAGAGGCAGTCATTCCATTTGCATTGGAAATGTTTCAAAATTACATTGGAATTCCAAATTCCAAATGTTTCAAGATGTTAAACGAATTGGGGATTGTTAGGGGTGTGGAGTAGATCTGGACAAGGAGGAGGAGTCTGGAGATAAATCCAAGGACCGAGGGGCAGTAGAAACAAAAGAGAAACATTTTGAGCAGAACATTTCAGAAGTCTTGAAGGATACGTTTCTGAGTACAGCCCCTCCACTGATCTGAGATATAGTGAGGGAATGGTATGGCAGAAGGGAAACCCTATCAAGAAGAATTCACTTTTTGTAAAAAGCAGTGATTAAATTGAGGCTTCCTGAACAGTGATTTAAATCACTATTTAAATTGATTTGATTTAAATCAAATCCACCCTGAAGCCAAGTAGGGAGTGGTGGCAGCAGTAAAATCCAGGAAATTTTGCCAGTCAGGGGATGGGGCCAGGCAGGGCCATCATGGGGGCTTCTCCTGTGGCTCCCCTGGCTGTGCCTGCCTCTGCCCTGCTTCCGCTTGCCTACCTGGTGTGGGGTGGAGGCATGATGCAGGCATAGCTTGCTCCAGGTGGCAATATGGCATGGCCCCCACTCCCAGGGTTACTGCGCCCACATCATTGCTGGGAGCAGGGTCTCTGCTGCTGCTTGCCCACTTCTGCCTGCAGTGAGCCGTGCCTGCTTCCTGCCTCCCCCCTGCCCTGGCTGGACAAGTGGCAGCAGAGCAGATTCCCTGCTCCGAGGGCTACCACGCCTGCATCCCGCACTCCACACATTCCCCTCCACAGGTAACATGCCCCCTGCCCCAGCTGGGCAGCTTGTCCCAGCCCCAATCTCTTCTCCAGCACCCCTTCCCTCTCCCTTCCCCCAACCCCATCAGACTTACCAGCTGGAGGCAACTGCCAGCTGCCTGTTTAGTCTATGGCCAAATCTTTTTCCGAATTGATTCAGATGTTTCAAATCAATTGGGAGCTTTTACTTGGTCTCCCGATTCAATTTAGATTCAGAGATTTGGTCCCCAAATTGGGCCGAATCTTCTCCAAACTGAATCAGCTACTGAGGCTTCGCACAGCCCTATCAATTAAGGCTTGTTGCGGGTAGGTCTTGCTTGACCAATCTCATTACCTTCTACGACCAGGTGACCTGTCACTTGGACAAGGGAGAAGAGATTGATGTCATATATCTTGACTTCAAAAAAGCCTTCGATCTGGTATCCCATGATCACCTCTTGGCCAAACTGGCCAATTGTGGCCTTGGGTCCACCATGATCCGCTGGCTGGGAAATTGGCTCCGTGGTTGGACACAGAGGGTGGTAATTGACGGAAGTCAATCGTCATGGTGCCCTGTGACCAGTGGGGTCCCCCAAGGCCCTGTGTTTGGATCCATATTATTCAACATCTTCATTAATGATGTGGACATTGGTATCAGAAGCCGACTGGCCAAGTTCACCAATGACACCAAACTTTGGGGCAAAGCATCCATGCCAGAAGACAGGCGGGTGATCCAGGCTGACCTGGACAGGCTCAGCAAATGGACGGACGAGAACCTGATGGTGTTTAACACCGAAAAATGCAAGGTTCCCCACCTTGGGAAGAAAAACCTGCAGCATCCTTATAGGCTTGGCAATGCTATGCTGGCTA